TTACATACACAAACAATACGCCAATGATCTCTGCCATAATTAATAGGCATTGCCCTTATATATTCGCTTGATTTTTTACACGCACACGCAGTTGTGGCAGCAGCAGCTCGTCACAGTTTTACTTTTTGGCGAAATTCTCCGATCTCCTTTTTCTATTCTGTTTCGCAGCTCTCTCTCTGCTACAGGAGCAGTTGTTGCACATCCATACATGCACAAATACGCTTTGACTCCTACACATACATACACGCATGTGTACAGTTGCTGCAGCGTCTGTCCACGGGAGTCTCAGTTTTTTTTCTTGCCCCCAGGAGTCTCAGTTGTTTTATATCAGTTTTGGTGGCTTTATTTATATATTAAACTTGAGAACTGTTTTAAAAATGTCTTATTTTTAGGACGGATAAAGTTATTTATTAATTTCACTTCGAAATTTGTTCAAATAATGATTTTTTCGCATTCCGTTTCCCACTTTCGTAGTTCCAATTGCCGGCAGAAGCTCCGCTCACTTCACATTTCTATAAATCTGTTCAAAATGCACTTTTTTTATGTGTTTTTCATTGTTGATCCATAAAACGGAGCTAGTTTAACTGATTTATTTGTTTTTGAGGTATAATTATATGTTTTTTCCCGACTAGAAACGATGTTTTTCAGCAGCAGCAGCGCGGCTCAACTTTTCACTCCGCCAAAATGGTTTTTCTTCTGTTCCTTTTACCTTCGCTCTTCTTTCTTCGGCGCTGCCATTGGCCCAGATTTTTACTGGCGTAGAGAGCGGAGAGCGGTGAGCGGAGAGCGCGTGGTGCAAGCCAAGATCTGAACGATTTCCAGTGGCGAAGCGAGAGAGAGCGAGGATGAAAGAGAAGAAGAAGAAGATGGCGGAGTGAAAAGTTGTGCCGTGCTGCTGCTGCTGAAAATAACGTTTTTAGTTGGAAAAAAACGCTGAACAATACCTAACAAACAGTTAAAACAGTTAAACTAACTCCGTTTTATAGATCAACAATGAAAAACGCATTGAAAAAGTGAATTTTGAACAGATTTATAGAAATGTGAACTGAGCGAAGCTTCTCCCGGCAATTGGAACTACGAAAGTGGGAAACGGAATGCGAAAAACAGTAAATTGTACAAATTTCGAAGTGAAATTAATAAATAACTTTATCCGTCCTAAAAATAAGACATTTTTAAAACAGTTCTCAAGTTTAATATATAAATAAAGCCACCAAAACTGATATAAAAAGCTGAGACTCCCGGGGTCAAGAATAAAAAACTGAGACTCCCGCGGACAGACGCTGCAGCAACTGTACACATGCGTGTATGTATGTGTAGGAGTCAATGCGTATTCGTGTATGTATGGATGTGCAGAAACTGCTCCTGTGGCAGAGAGAGCTGCGAAACAGAATAGAAGAAGGAGATCGGAGAATTTCGCCAAAATGTAAAACTGTGACGAGCTGCTGCTGCTACAAACCGTTATTAAAGTAATAACTGTAAATAAAAAGTGTTTTAAAGTGCGTGTATAAAATCAAGCGAATATATAAGGGCAATGCCTATTAAATATGGCAGAGATCATTGGCGTATTGTTTGTGAGAGAGACGAATATACAGAAGGAAACGGAAATAAGCAAAACAGGTAAGTGAACAAACAATAAAATTTGTATATTGAATGTATTTTGATCAAGGCCTATAAAAGCTTTTATAGCAAAGCAAGTTATTGGGAAATATAATTTTTAATGAGCCTTCATATATCATTTAAATGGTATATTTCATATTTCTTTGCTATTTTTCAAAACATTCTCGCGATTGCTAAAAAAAATTATGAATAGCAACCAACAATCCTGATTCAGATTCTCATTCATCCGGAGCTCTCTACGGTTTCATGTGCAGCTCCTGTTTCATGCATATTTATTTCTTTATTTATTTATTTGTTTATTTATATCGCTTTCTCGCTCACTCAGCTCTCCCTGGCATATGTATTCGGTTAATTGAAATTGATTTCTCGCTTTTTGGGGGCAGTGATATGTATGTATGTACATATATATGTGTGGGCGGGGGAGCAACACCTGGACAGAGACTGAGACTCTCATAAAAATCAATTTCAATTTTTAGCTAACTGTAAAGCTAAAGTGCATAATATTTCTTTAAAAGGAGATAAGGGAAGAAAGGTCCTTGTGTAACGGTTGATAGCAAAAAAAAAAATCTTAAATATTTTTTGGGTAAAAAGTTTAATGAAAAATATCGATATTTACGCATTTTAGTTGTTAATATATGCTTAAAATTCCACTTTTTTAAATATATTTAATTTAAGACAAAAGATATGGTATTAAACAATTAAATTCGGTTACTTTTATATATAAATAATTATAAAATATTAACTAAAATTGAATATAGGTATACTAGTATTTTGATAGATATCCCATTTATCGATGTCCATTTGATATCAATTCAATTTCTATAATATCTATCGATATATTTAGGCCATCTCTAATTGAAACATTGTAAAGCTAAAGCTGAAAATCGCGCTGCGACTTTGAAAGGGGCCTGTACTTTTCGGGTGGAAACCTTTGGGTTTGGGAAAACTTGAAGTAAAACCGCAAGCTAACCGAGTTGGAGTGCGGGTGGTCCTCAGCTGGGAGGCGGCGGCGGGCGTTGCCCAGGTGGGTGGTGCTGCTTTTCAGGTGGACTGAGTAGGGGGGTGTTGGTGGTGCATTCGAAGTGAGTTAAACCGCAGGAACCGCTGACCTGCTTACTTGAGTGCTTGGACACAAAGTGGGGGCCACTGTTTGTGCTTGTTTGTGTGCGTGCAACATGCAACACCCCATCATTCTGCACTCCTGCAACGCCCCCCCTCTTTCGACCAACAACAGTTGGCTGTGACGTCAATGAACACGCAAACCCCGAACAACAATGCAACAGACACAGGGCGCCGAGAGAACAACAGCAACATTGTACAAAAGACAACGACAACACAATGGCGCAAAACTTCAGTGCAATGCTATGACAAATGATTAAATACTGGGGTAAAAAAAGGAAACAACAAAATAAAAAAAAAAATAAAAATAGGGGAAAAATAACAACAAAACAATGCCAGTTTCGCTTAAAGTTCTCCCTCGTTTACCTTTAGCAAAACTTGACGAAAACTTCAACTACTCGGAGTTCCCTTTTTCTCTGGCTTTGAAATAATTAAAAAAAATAAAACAAGAAAAACACTTTAGAACAAATGATAAGAAGTTCTGGATTTTCAGGGAAATCAATAATTAATGGGGCCAAAATATTTAAAATGTAATAATATATTTTGTAGGAGTATTTAAACTTATTAAATAAATTTGAATATTTTTGGCCTCGAATTGTGGCAAAAAGGGTTTTATTTTAAAATTATTAAACTTAAGCTTACAAGAAAAACAATAATTAGAAGACACAGAGAAATTGATAAATTTAAATATAATTTTTTTAAGCATTGATTTGTCGTAATTAGAGATTATTCAATAATGCCCAATAATGGCTAAATTAAAAGTTTAATTAAAAAAATTTAAATAAACTTCCTTAACAAATAAAAATAAAAAATATGAATAAATTCAAACTTATCAAGATAGAATTTAAAAAAAATGTAAATATTAAATTTTAAATTTTGCTAGACAAATAAATTAATATATAAAATTTATAAAATAACTATTAATTAATAAATTAAAATTTAAAATTAATAATGTAGAAAATAAGATTTTAAGCTTGAAATTTTAAACAAAATTAAACAAAACTGAAATACTTGAGTTTAAATATCAAATAATAATAATAATATTATAGTGTATTTTTTTTTTATACTCAAATTGTTTACCATTACCTTTGTGTTTATTTTCAATTTAAATAATTGTTTAGACACATTCCAACTTTATCTAAATCAAGATTGTCATCTCTCATTGTCAAAAGGAGGACTGAAGACTTAATCAGACGCGTATATATTCGAAAACGCCCTTGATAAATGGGTATTATTAAGGTGCATTAACACCCTGCCCCGCCTGCCTGTTATTGTCGCAACAAATATGTCAAACGCTGGTTTTACTTACTTAACGTATGCATTAGCTGAACTTAATTAATTACTTACCGACTCTGTCGGCGAGCAATTACACAGAATCAGTTCGAAGAGGGAAACGGCGAGATATAGGAAGAAAGAGAGGGAGAGAGAGATGGAGAAAGTGAGTGAGAGGTGTTTAACCGCAAAACTCAATTTAACTGCTGGTCGAAATGCTGGCGGTGAACCGTCAACCCGAAGACGACTTTGACGCCAGAAACTTGGCTTTAAGAAAGACTTTCTGGCAGATATTAGAGTTCGATTTGTGTATTTGAGTGTATTTAAAATTAAGCACAGGTGGAAAAATCAGGAGAATCATAAAATAAACAAAAAGAAGTGACTTAAAAAATCTTTACAAATATTTGTATGTAAAAGCAATAAATACAGAAAAAAAGATGATCCAAAATAGAAATAAAATATTAATATATATAAAATGGTATATTATGTTTTATATTTTGTATTAAACAAATTTTTAAATTTCTATATCCAACTTAACAATAACAATATTTTCGATATAATATTAATATATATCAAAGGGGTGAATATTGCAGGTGAAACATTTTTTATTTTATTATTATCTATTTTAAATATTGTTGTATTATCATGAATTAATTTAAATTTAAATTAATAAATTAAATTCAAATAAAATAATACAATTGAAATTTATTAATTTAAATTTAAATTAATTCATAAGCATAAAAAAAATAATACTTAAAATAAAAATAAATCCTAAAATTCTTTAAAATAAGATTTTACAAATATTTAAAAAGCAAATTTAAACTATTTATACGTACAAGTTTTTTTAAAATTTAAAATAAAAATGTCTTCACTTACTCTGAAAAATGAAAAATTTATATATTTTATATTATCATATCTCATATATTATATATTCCACAATAGCCATTAAATCTCTCTTGTAAACTGTAAACAAATAGTTGACTCTGACTCACCCTTCAAGTTGTTGTTTGCCAAGATAACATCTTTTTCTGTTCGCTGACAAAAAAAAAAAAAAAGAAATAATAATTGATAAGCGTCCCCCTCAAGGTGATAGAGCTGAAACAAAATAAAAAAAAAATATATGTATACAAAAAGAGATTACAACAGGCGGCAACAAGTGTGTGCAAATTGGTATCGATTCTGTTTGATTAATTGTTACAGCCAATCGAAAATGTAAACAATATGTTAACAGCCTGATTATCGCGCTTCGATATGTGCATATATAACAAATACATATACATATATGTTATGGGGGTGTCTGGTGCAGGTGATCGGGGAAAATGGGAAATGTAAATGGCAAGGCCTCTATTATGGTTGTGTAGATAATACTAAACAAAAGCAGGGAGCAGAAACAATAAGCCTAAAAAACATTAAAAACAAAATATATATAAAAAAAAATATACAAAAAAAAAAAAGAAAAATATATAGAGAAAAATTAGAGAGAAATATAAAGAGAAGAAGAGAAAAGAGTAGAGAAAAACAAACTCATAGCAGGCGAGTATCGTGGCACTCGCCGGCGTAATTAAAAAAAAAAAAAAATTCTTATCAATTTCAATTTCAATTGTTAATTGTTGTGGCCTCACTCCAGCGTTCAGGTATCTATATCTATTGTACATAAATTTATATGGGCCCAGCCCATAGAGATACTGTGGGTTTTATATGAGGAATATAATGGGGGACGCCAGCAGCGCCAGTTCAGGATCGATAAAAAACCCCAAAAAAAAATTCCCCCTTTGAAAAATACAGTAAGCCCCAGGCCAGGGAGTTCTCTAAAGTACAATTTTTGTACAGATATCATCAAACCTAAATATTTCAGTTCAATTAACTCGAAATAACTGAACTAACCTGAGCATTGAGGGAGAGCACACAAAAGGGTTTATTGTAAATGGCAAAATTGTTCCTTTTGTGAGTTGCACTTTCCACAGAAATCGAGGGAGTTTAAGAGTTGGAATTACAACGAACAAAATGCCAGGCCAGATCATAATGTTTGTCTCACTTCCAACAAACCAAGGTAAATAGCAAAATAGTCGTCGAGTTGGTAACTATAATGCACTTGGAAAAAGCTCTATTAAATTTGCTAAAAAAATTTAGTTATATTTAAAACCATTTAATTTTAACAGGAAATTAAAGAAAAATAGAATAATTTAATATAAAAAATTAATATAAAAAATAGATATATATATATAATAAATTAATTTTAAATATAACCGATATAAATTGCAATTTTATTTGCAAATTTTCCGATATACATAAGACTTACTGTATTTCTTATGTATATCGAAAAGTAAAACTTGCAAATAAAATTTAGTTATCCATAAAAATGGTATTCAAAATTGTGATTCGTGCGAAAAATCCATATGGTATGATAATATCTATATTTTATCGTAAAATTCGATATTTTTCAAGATTTTCGATATGAAATTAAATAATTTTCCCTTAAAAGATAGCTACATTCCCTGCTTCCAAAGTTTTCCAGCTTCTGTTGTGTGGATATTAAAGCACCCCCATTTTTTGACAGTGTAGAACAGGCAGAGGAGAGGAATATTAGGATCCTTGTCTTTGGGTACCAGCCCCAGACCTCAATCGCATCCCCGAGGCTAGCAAATTGAGCTGGATGTTTTCACTTGCCATTTCCGGACTGCAACAACAAACCGCAACACACACACACACACACACTGGCACACTCTATAACCAGACATACACACACTGACATACACAGACAGGAAGGAAAAATAAACTTTTCGAAAGGAAGGACATGCCATTGTACGTTGGTATCCTGTTGTTGTGGCCAAAGAAGAGGAGTCGAATGGCATGCGAACTCGTTTTCATTTTCCATAATTACTATCATCATTTGGTTCTGCTTCTGGTCGTTGTTATTGGCAGAGCTTATCGCATATATAAATATATATATATATGTATTTATAACCGGGCAGTGCAAATTGTGGGGATATTAGGTTAATTCAAAGGCGTTGCCAAGCAAAAGGATTCCGATTATCAAACAGAAACTGTAATTTAGAGCTAAGCATGTTTGGGTAAAATTAACTTGAAAAGGTTTATGAATAATTGGGTGAAATAATTAAATGTTTCTGGAATTTATAAAGATCCAAATAATATAATTAAATGTTAATGGAATTTATTTTCAAATAATTGGGTGATATAGTTAAATATATTTCTTTAAAAGAATAAAATTACTTTAAAACAAGCTAAATGATTTTAAAAATTATTAATTCATGTTTTAAATATTATTTTAAATTTTGTTTAGTTGGTTTTAAATTTAAATTTAATATAATATAATTATTAATTATAATTGGTAGGTAAAACATAAATATGGTTTTATGTTGTAAAGATTTTTTTAATATAGTTTTAGCTGTTTTTGAATTTTAAATAGTTAATAGAAAATACTAAATTACACAAAATAATTTTAAAAAATATATAAACAATTTGTATAGTAATTAATTTATTTTGAATTTATTTTTATCTGTTTTAAGTTGCTTCTACTTAATCTTATTTGATTTAATTAGTTGTTTTATTTTTTATTTTTTTAACGGCAATGAGGCGTCTCGATGTCACACTTGGCAATTTTCGTGCCAAGGCACTTGTGTTGTCTGTCCATGTTGTGCATTTTAAAGCTCTGGAGATTCGGAATTATATTCGGTATATAGGTATTATACAACTCCGATCCGAGAGCGGCACGCGACTTTGTGACTTTGCGCCTGCGCATTTGAATATACAATTTAAAAAAAAAGACCAAAAATCGAGCGAGTTATTTCACTGCAAAATGCCAGTCATGTAGCGACGTCAACTGTCTGCTATTTATTTATTTATTTTTTTCAGCCGTTGACAAATTGAGCCGAAATGATAAAGCAAGCGTTGAGGTGTTAGCTTCTTTATTTTATTACTTTTTTTTTTTTCGTCTCAGCCGAATTCCCGTGTGTTTTTCATTGTTAATGATCACAATAAATTCAGCGTCCGCATGTGTGATCCATCTTATACATGTGCCAGACGACTTCTGGGTTTTACACTGTGAGAAATTAATTAATTTAATAAATTTTTAGTTATTTTAAAATTTTTAATTTGTCAAAACTAAATTACTTTTTGTTAAACTTTTCTGTCTGTTTTTTTAACTGTTTATAATTATTAAAAATTGTTAAATCTTTTTTTTTTAATTTAGTATATTTATATTTTATATATTTATATTTTATATATTTATATGTTATATATTTTTATTAATTTATAAAATGTCATATTCTTAAAAACTCCTAACCTTAAGATTCAAATTAGTTTCCCATTTAATAAAAATGAATAATTAATTTATTTTTTATTAAATATTTTTTTATTATAAAATATTTACTTATTACTATATATTTTTTGATTAATATTCACTTATTATTCTCTCAGTGCAAATATTTGATAATAATTATATTTTGTTGGCGACAAAATCGTTTTGGCCAAGTGCTAATTGGTTAGTTAAAGAGACGTCGATATATATTGAGTAATACCGATCGGGGCACGGATCTCTTTCAGCCGAAACCATTATCTGTTTGCTTAGTTTTTTTTTTTCGGGCTGTTTGTGTGGCACAAACAATGCGCGAAATAAAAAGAAATATAAGATCCCCATGGCATGGCATTTGGCCCAAATTAAGTTCTGTTCAAACAGAACCGACATATAGAACCTGTTATTCAAAAGCTGTTGACAACTTGTTGCCATCGGGCAAATAGCGCCAACAACATGGCCCAAGAATGCCAGAGAGAGAGAAGGAGAGGGAGGCAGATCACCTGTTGCCACCTCCCACATTAACCGTATATCTGAGATCCGTATCTAGTATCTGTATCTTTAGCCTGCACTTGGGCCAAGAAGAGTCTCCGTGTCGGCGGCTTTGAAGCCAAAGGGGTAAACATTGAAAAGAACAATAAACAAAGTCCTCCTCATCTTCATTTAACTCATTTTCAACAATTCGTGACATTCGGTAAATATTTACACCTTCATTTCGGTCAAATTTTGGATCTAGGGAATATGTTTATTATTATTTTAATATATTTTTTTTAAACAAAGAAATGCTGAGAATGGTTTATTGCATTTAAAGATCTTTAAGATTAAATGTTAAATTTATTTAGAAATAAATTACTTAACTTAAAAATTGTTCAATGGATATAAAGATCATTTATCTACTTTTTAAATTTATTTATTGCCTTAAAATTGTTAATTTAACTTCTAAATTTTATATTGTCTTCAAAGATCATTCATCTACTTTTTTAATTGCCTTAGAATTGATCATTTAACGTATTAATTAATATTTATTGACACCTTAATTGATCATTAATATTAATGATGACTCGTAAAACGAAACTGGATTTATGTTTCACTTTATGGCGGTGATAAAATGATTAATGCTTATTTTTTAAGCATGCAACTAGGAATATAAAATATAGAAATTAAATTAACCAAATCTCCAGACATTTTACGACGCAAATCTATTTTGTTTGTGGACTAAACTTATATCCAGTTCAAATTTAATTCGCAAACAGGGCCAACAGCCATGAAGACGACGACAACGACAATTGTTTGATAAAACGTTATCGCACTTTTGGGGTCTCTGACACTCGAATGACACCCTGCGGCCTCGTAGAGTTTAGTTCTAAATTTAGAATTCATTTTTTGTCAGTTCATCGAAGCGTTACTTTAATTTTATTTTTATTTTTCACACCCAAAAATTGGTATTTACTGTTTTTTTAAGTCAGCTTGTCTCTTCTTTGACTTAATTTTGGCAGCACGTGCAACTTGCACTTGCAGCCGGATTTCTCTGGGGAATTCTCTGGATCTGCGTCTCCATCTCTGACTCTCTTTGGAAAGAGAAAGAAATGCTCTTTTATGGGCATGACCAGGCAGACTTGTTTGGTGTTCTCGCTTAGCTAGGGCAAAGTCCATCGATTGATGCTAAAGTTCATCGAAGATTTTACACTTTGTCATCACTAATTTATATTATAAATAAAATATCTATAAAAACGAACCATTTAACAATTAAACAAGTTCATTCTTTAAACTTACAAAAAGCTAA